TTGTGCTCTAGTATTCCAGATAAAAACGTTTAAGTCAGATGTCGTATTATTAGGACGGTTATTTCTATTCAACATGGCACGATCATGTTTGATCAGCAAAAGAAAAAATACAACAATTGTATGTAACTTCTTTCAAAATTATAAATCATATTCAGAGTGATTTTTCTCTAAATATCTGAAGTATCGCTAAACCTTAAAATACGAATAACTGAACATATAGAAATGGGGCGTAATTGTGTACTGATCCAATATGAACAAACCTACACAATATGGAAAACTCTGAACAGTCCCTCTCTTTAAAAAACAAACTATGAAACAAGTTAAATAAAGTGACATACGGTAGAACGGACTCTCGAGATAAAAAACACAAGACAAATATTTGTATTGGACAGAACAGACTCTCGGGATTGTCTCATCGGCAATCATACCACATCTCCTTATTTTTACTATGAGATAATACAAGAAATCTCAAGTAGATCACTACCTTAACAAAGGAGAAAAGATTCTTGGACATATCAGTAAGCGAACTATGACATTACTGTGAAAATAACTATAGGCTCTCAAGAGCCTGTGTCGCTCACCTGACTCTACTTTGGTTTTAGAAATCATGTAAAGATAGATAAAAATCATAACAGATACCCAAATAATGATTGAGGCCAAATTTTGATTAATATTGGTCCCGTTATTTAATAAAATATCATGGTGGCCATCTTGAACAGTAAATCGGCAACAAAGTAGCAACACTTGGTCAGCACTATATAAGGAACATTCATGCTATGTTTGGTTTCATTCCATTCAGTGGTACTCTAAAAGAAGACATTTGTATGTAATTCCCATAGGGTCCTATGTTAAACTAAGCCCCCTCCCCCCCCCCCCCCCCCCCCCCCCTTAGTGGCCATCTTGGATGATGGATCGACTGCAAAGTAACAACACTTGGTCAGCAACTCATAAGGAACATTCATGCCATGTTTGGTTCAATTCCATTCAGTGGTTCTCTAAAAGAAGACAATTGTATGTATTTCCCATAGGGTCCTATGTTAAACTAAGTCCCCCGCTGTCGGCCATCTTGGATGATGGATCGGCTGCAAAGTAACAACACTTGGTCAACATCTCATAAGGAACATTCATGCCATGTTTGGTTCCATTCCATTTATTGGTTCTCTAAAAGAAGACATTTTTATGTATTTCCCAAAGGGTCCTATGTAAAACTAAGTCCCCCGCTGGCGGCCATCTTGGATGATGGATCGGCTACAAAGTAACAACACTTGGTCGGCATCTCATAAGGAACATTCATGCCATGTTTGGTTTCATTCCATTCAGTGGTTCTCTAAAAGAAGACATTTGTATGTATTTCCCATAGGTCCTTTGTTAAACTAAGTCCCCTGCTGTCGGCCATCTTGGATAATGGACCGACTGCAAAGTAACAACACTTGGTCAGCACCTCAAGAGAACATTCATGCCATGTTTGGTTTCATTCCATTCAGTGGTTCTCTAAAAGAAGACATTTGTATGTATTTCCCATAGGGTCCTACGTTAAACTAAGTCCCCCGCTGGCGGCCATCTTGGATGATGGATCGGCTACAAAGTAACAACACTTGGTCAGCACCTCATAAGGAACATTCATGCCATGTTTGGTTTCATTCCATTCAGTGGTTCTCTAAAAGAAGACATTTGTATGTATTTCCCATAGGGTCCTATGTTAAACTAAGTCCCCCGCTGGCGGCCATCTTGGATGATGGACCGACTGCAAAGTAACAACACTTGGTCAGCATCTCATAAGGAACATTCATGCCATGTTTGGTTTCATTCCATTCAGTGGTTCTCTAAAAGAAGACATTTTTATGTATTTCCCATAGGGTCCTATGTTAAACTAAGTCCCCCGCTGGCGGCCATCTTGGATGATGGATCGGCTACAAAGTAACAACACTTGGTCAGCACCTCATAAGGAACATTCATGCCATGTTTGGTTTCATTCCATTCAGTGGTTCTCTAAAAGAAGACATTTGTATGTATTTCCCATAGGGTCCTATGTTAAACTAAGTTCCCCGCTGGCGGCCATCTTGGATGATGGATCGGCTACAAAGTAACAACACTTGGTGAGCACCTCATAAGGAACATTCATGCCATGTTTGGTTTTATTCCATTCAGTGGTTCTCTAAAAGAAGTCATTTGTATGCATTTCCCATAGGGTCCTATGTTAAACTAAGTCCCCCGCTGGCGGCCATCTTGGATGATGGATCGGCTACAAAGTAACAACACTTGGTCAGCACCTCATAAGGAACATTCATGCCATGTTTGGTTTCATTCCATTCAGTGGTTCTCTAGAAGAAGTTCAAAATGTTAAAAGTTAACGCCGACGACGGACGACGCCGGACGACGGACGACGCCGGACGACGGACGACGGACGCCAAGTGATGAGAAAAGCTCACTTGGCCCTTCGGGCCAGGTGAGCTAAAAAGGACTTCCAACCAGACCCGTAACAGAACTAATAAAAAAAACACAGGTACCCTAAGCAGATCAGTTACAAAACTAATAAACAAATCGCAGAGACCCTGAAGCAGAGCAGATATTGAAATGAAAAGGAAAAAAAGGGACCTCAGTAAATCAGTTACCGAACTTATGAACAAATCACATGGACCCTCAGCAAATCAGTAATCGAACTAATGAACAAATCACAGGTACACTCAGCAGACTAGTTACCAAACTAATGGACAAATAACAGGACCCTCAGCAGATCAGCTGCCGAACTAATGAACAAATCAAAGGACCCTCAAGCAAATCAGTAACCGAACTCATGAACAAATCACAGGGACCCCAGCTGGTGAGTAACCGAACACTAACCACTAATGAACAAATAACAGGACCCTCAGCAGATCAGTTACCGAACTAATGAACAAATCAAAGCTCCTCAGCAGACCAGTTACCAAACTAATGAACAAATCAAAGGCTCCTCAGCAAACCAGTTACCAAACTAATGAACAAATCAAAGGCTCCTCAACAGACCAGTTACCGAACTAATGAACAAATCAAAGGCTCCTCAGCAAACCAGTTACCAAACTAATGAACAAATCACAGATACCATAAAGCAGACCAGGAAACGAACTGTATTACACGGAAAGCAGTTTATAAAAGGACTAAATGACAAAATATTCCCAGACTGTTTTGTCAGTTTAAGCTCCATCGTAAAACACGAATAAAAACAATTGAGAGAAAATACTAATTTTTTTACATGTTCCAAGTATTTCCCCTATCATATATATCATAACCGTCTTTGAACTGGTAGGCGTTTCTGTTAAAAATGTGTAGTACAACGCTGAAAACTTGATTCGTTTTTCGTTTATACAACATGAGTATTTCCAATAAAAACAAATCATATGCTGCAGTAAGAACAACGCCTCATATAAACTATCAAACTTCATTAGCGCATTGAAAAGGACTTGTTGCTTGTTATTTTCATGGAAGTTTTATATGGATCAGTGGGTTTGTTTTTTTTCTTGCTTTAAAAAGTTTTTTATATATATGAATTGGTTTTAGCTTAATTCTCAAGTTATATATTATATAAAAAATACAATAAAACGCATAATTGGATGTTTTAACGTTTTTGTAAATAATTTAACGGCTAAATGAACTGTTTCATTTTTTATTCATACACCATGTAGGGTATTTGAAAATATTGAATGTAAAATATAATGTCAATGAATTAATATTCAGGCATTCAGATTTATTAGGTTTAAAAATCTCTTACGATACATTCTTTTGATATATAATTGAAAACCCATCTCTTCTAATCTTTCAAAGCAATTATGCCTTTGAGTACATGTCATGAATAACATAAATGTTTACAAGGTCTTGATGGCCTGATAAATGTACAAATATCTGATTTTACCCATTCAAGCTAAACAAGACGTTTCTGCTACATGTACAAACATCTGATTTTATCAAACCAAGCAAAACCAGACTTTAATGCTAAATGTAAATACATATTTGCCAATCTAAGCTATCTAAATGTACAAAAATCTGATTTTATCCATCCTAGCGATTCAAGACTGTACTGCTAATTGTACAAACATCGGTTTTTATCTTCCCACACAAACCAGAATTATCAACTAAATGTACAAATTCTGAGTTTACCCATTTAAGTGAATCAAACCAGAATTTATTGCTAAATGTACAAACAATCAATATAAAAATAAGGAGATGTGGTATGATTGCCAATGAGACAACTATCCACCAATCAATGCTTGCCCATCCAAGATAAACCAGTATTTTTTATGTTACTGTTATTTATAAATATTTTTACGAATTATTATCGTTATCACTTCTACTGGTATTCTATGATAATACCAATTCTATACAATTGTATAATACGTTTCCCACCCTTTTAATAGAGCAAAATTGATTATACACAGTAGAGACCAAAATCTTTAATACCAGTTGCAAGCATCAAACCAAATAGGACCTTTTGCGAGTAAGACAATGTTGTCTTAGGTCAACTTTGACCGAAGGAATTGCAATTTTAGTTTTCATGCAATAACGTAATTGTAAGTAATTTTAAAGGTGGAAGGTATCCTTAAGGACAGGCATATTAAAGCAATATACCATCAATATACAGTTCTCTATAAAACATCAATTAGATCACAGGCGCTCGGGGGAATGGATTCCCCTTTTTCTATATATAAAACTTATTGCTATATTTTTTTATTTCTAGTAAATATTCCTTAATATTTTAACTTCTTTCCACTTATCTAATGTGTTTGCTCCTGTCCATACGATTTTATAATAACAGTAGTTGTAGCTTTTATATGATGCCCCTCTATTCTTATTATCCACCTACATTAAATAAGTGAAAATAATTTAAAATATTAAGGAATATTTACCAAAAAAAATAGTAAAATAACTTTTTTAAATATAAAGAAAAAGGAGTTCCACTTTCCAAGCGCCTGTGAATTAGATGAATTATAAATCAAAATCAAACTGTTGGTCTTGAGAACAAAGTCGAATTATGAATATTTCAATTTATTATCGCATCGTATTTACTGCCCTAAGTAAGTTTATGATTTGTAGTTCTGACTATTTGCTCCCTGGTATATCAACTAAAATTACATGTATATATAATTATGGAATCAAAACTCTCTTTGGCAAGGATTTTTCGTCACAATATTCAAACAAGTCAATTTCATACCACAAATAACACTTTTTCATTTGTTCAGCAAACCTAATCTTCAATGGCGATTTTGAATGCTTCTTCTTAAAAATTATAATACATTTCTCCATTTATTGTTTATTTTTTGTCTTTTGGAGTTTTCTTCTCCTTTTCCTTTCGGCCAGACTTTTTACCAGACGAATTGTCTTTGTCCTTTTTGTTTTTTCTTTTGCCAAATATTATGGCCATGGTTGATTTCTTTGGTCTGCCATCACCTTTCTGTGATTCGGGAGTGGGAACTATAACTCCACGGCGATATGATGACGTTTTCTGGTCAGCTAACTGTGCCATGATATTGGCCAATGTAGCCTGTTGTACGTTTGTAAGTTTTTTTGGTGGTGGCTTTTTGAACGTTGCAAACCGTTTATTTGCTGACAAGTCTAAGAGCGCAAGTGATCCTCGGAAATTCAATGAAGACGGCGGAGTAAGCTTCCCTCTGTTGGTGATATTGCCGTCAATGTTGGTCATATATTCTTGCTCAAGATCGTCCATATATCTAACGGATTTTGTTTTTGATATATCAGGTTTCTGAGCAATGAAAACTGTATTACGGCGTGGCGTGTCATCTGCACATGATATTCTAATTTCTGGTACAGACCGGGATAAAGTCTGAGAATGTTGGAGAGAATTCATAATACGACTTCGCCCGCTAATCGCAGCATGCTCAAAATCGCTCATTCTTCTTTTGGCCTCTTGTCTTTCTTTTGCCTTTTTGCCGACTTCTGTCCAGTCTTCACCATTCCTGAATGTAAACCTGTCTGTTTGTCCCAAGCTTGCATTGCCTTCTTCTTGGAGTATTTTAGCTATGTTATGATAACCAAGTCTTTTGGCATGTAAGTAAGGAGTTAGACCTAACTTATCGTGGACGTCTACAGACAAGCGGTATCTACGACATTCTCTACATAAAACTGATACTATTTCTTCATTACCTGACTGGCAAGAATGATGTAAAGGGGTCATTCCGTTACAGTCCTTCTCCAAAATATCGATTTCTCCTAAGAAGGTATCGAGAAGTAACTGTAATTCTGAGGATCTGCCTAAAATACAAGCCCATGCCAAAACAGATCTACCATGTCTTTCATCTCTAAATGCTGGATTTGCGTTTCTTTTGATGAGAAACCTAAACATTTTCCCTCTATTTTCTTGATCTTGTATATGAAGAGCAGCAATCAACACGTTGTAACCATAGTCATTCAGAATATTAACATTTAATCCTTTGTCTAACATTAATTTCACTTTTCTGAACCTGCATTTGTATACAGAATTGAATAGATTGTTTCCCATGCATCTTTTCAAATGATCATTCTCTACATTCCATTTAGATTTGACCTGAGGCTGAGGTTTGGCAGGAAAGATATCCTCTTCCATTTCATTCAAATCCAACGAATTTTCCATTTGATGGACTAAAGATTTTACTTGTATAGTAGTTTCCTCGCGCAGCACCATTTCGGAAAATCTTTTTTTTTCTCGAAAATATCACTTCAATAAGTTGCAGACAAAAAGTAGAAAAGAACGTTAATAATTGATGCGTTTTAAAATTCCATATTGATCACTTCAAGTGAAAAGTATATTTCTCGTCAGATTTAAAACATGCCAACTGATCTACTGAATACACGAACATATGTGAAATATCTTTTCATAAGTTATTAAAATTCAACAATTAAATTTTAAATTCCAACACAATACCTTATAAAATCCTCCCTGGCTTCAACGATTAAGTGATCAAAACATGGCTAACATTTCTTGATAAAGCTGATGTTTTATATTCAATAAAGTAATCCAATTCATTCCACGTGTTGTATCCAATGACAGAGTGAAATAAATTCTCGTGAACTTTGATCAACGAAATAATACTTCCATGTTTCCAAACAACATATCGTGTTTTTAATTTTAATATTTTGTTTATCCACAGGGTAAAATTACATCCGAGAGCCGTTTAAATTTTAACCATTTAAATATTTAAATGATCCGTCAACGATTGTCCGATTTAAAGATGGAAAATCAAAATGTATATTACTGTAGGAAAAGGTGAAACAATTTTGACAGTGTGATAAATCTACCGTGAATTTCGTCATTAATCAAAGATTTATATAGTAAGATCTTTGCTTTAAGCAATACGTACGCAATTATGAAACCAATAAAAATATTCTCTCATACGTCAATCGTTTATGCTTTTAAAAGTCTATCAAGTAACAATTTCATGAAAGATCATCAATGAAAGAGGCAAACTTTAAATTGAAGCCCTTCGAAAAACCTGATAAATGAATCTAATAATGTGAAATGTTATTTGCTTTTAATGCTTTATCCAACATTTTGTTTAAGATTCATTAGGTGATATGTCAATAAGTGTTGTCAAGAATCAAAGGTAATCCAGGTACAACATCACCGAGTTTCTTGGGAAAATTTTCATTTTAATATAAAACACTGCTTTATTAACTTATAATTGGATTTAAAATCAACATAAAAAGAAAATTAAATACCACAGCCATGTATGTTGCCACGCAGTTCTTGTGTATGTATGTAATATGTAAGTAAAGATGAAGAGGTTTCCGTCAATGACAATATCAAATGGGAATACATAAATCTAAAACAGCCATGTAATTCTCGTAACGGAGATTTTCGCCTAATCCTGCAACACTTAATAGTCTTTTGTGACGTCTTCTTTCGTATATTAAACAGTTTCGAAAACAATTTTATGTTTCGTTTGATAAATAAAGAAGTTAAAAAATAAAAAGAAATGTGAATTAAAGGAGATGTAAGGTACACTTCACCTAAACGTCGGTAAATTTTTTACGTCAATATACAGTCCTCAACAATATAAAAGAGAGTATAGATATTTAGTCACAATGGCTTCTCCCATCCGGCAGCAAAATCCATGTTAAAGAGAGGCGTCCGTTTATTTTGACGGAATGAATAAATACGCAACCATGTCCGGTCGGAATGTGGACGTAAATTTGAGGTTGCTGTCCTTTACCGCCAATTCTTATTGGTATATGATTTTCGCCAGATTTTATGTTTGGAATAAACTGGCTACTTGGTACATATGAAAGAGCGGAGAAATAAGGTATCGTATATGCAGATGAACAGTGCATTACTGTTTTAATTGGAGTACATATATGTTTCGTACAGTCTTTAGAAGCATAATTCAGAGAAGAAAAGAAACATTTATCGTTGATAAATTCCAGAGGTATGAAAAAGAAAACGAAGACGTAGAGCTCATGTTTGTGTGTCAAGTTACAGATTTCCGTCTTTAATCTAATTATGTCCTCTCATTTAATTGTATGGATGCTTTATGTGTATCCGTTTCAAATGTGATATAATGCAACTTTGAATGAGTTTAAACTGTTGGATATTAAAGCTTGCACCACACTGATAAAAGAAGGGGTTGTTGGGAGTCATTGCTTTCATAATAAAATTTGTTTTCATTTAAAAAATCAAAGAGCTGATAGCTCTGAGGTGGAAGAAGATGCATAAAAGGTAACTTGAATTACCGTGAAAGCAGCCCACACCAACCCAGCCTGCTCTGTCCCATTATTGCTTTCGACGTATTTTTTTCTTCCAAAAATAATATTCTTTTATAATACTCATGTCTCAACCAAAACTGACTATACTAAACATAAAAATCTACAAATGCTGTCGATTCAAATTAAATTTTCTATAATTCCATACATTCGTCTCAGCATGGTCAACTTGATGCAAGCAATTATACCAGTGATTAGGTTTCACTTGAAAGTTTTTCTGTCAAAGGTAGATAGTTCACTTTGGGTATTCCGAACTCCTTCCTATAAAAAAAAATGGCCACATCATTTTAGTCAAGTATGCTTAAAGTAGGGTTTAACACCAACATCAATCTGTTAATCATGAATTGTTAAGTTGTTCACAGTTACTTGTTTTTTCCCCATTATAAACATATAAACGCTTGCATATAACGTTATAAAGGGCTATAACTCAAGAACTGTAAAAATGACACTACCCAAATTTGAACTTGATCTGAGTTTTGTGATAATAGGCATTTTTTATAAGTTTCATAACATTTAGTTGACGTAAACTTAGATTAGAGAACAGAAACAAATATTTCAGCAATTTTGAGATTTGTAAAGTGGCATAACCCTAGAACGGTAAAAGTGACGCCAACAAAATTCAAACTTGATCTGTGTATTGTAGTAATTAGCATTGTGCATAAGTTTCATAACATTTGGTTGAGGCAAACTAAAGTTAAAGACCAAAAACTAATATTTCAGCAATTTTTCCATTTGTAAAGGGGCATAACTTTAGAACAGTGAAAGTGACACCACCAAAATTCAAACATTAACTTGATCTGTGTTTTGTGGTAATAAACATTGTGAATAAGTTTCATAACAGTTTGTTGAGGTAAACTAAAGTTAGAGAACGGAAACGAATAATTCAGCATTTTTTCCATTTGTAAAGGGGCATAACTCTTGAACGGTAAAAGTGATGCCACCAAAATTCAAACTCGATCTGTGTTTTGTGGTAATAAGCATTGTGCATAAGTTTCATAACATTTGGTTGAGGCAAACTAAAGTAAGAGAACGGAAACCAATTTTAGGACGTACGGACGTACAGACGGACAAGGGTAAAACTTAATGCCCCCTCCGCTACGGCGGGGGCATAAAAATGCTAAATATATCCAATTGCAGATTTGTCTCAAGTCAGGGATTGGACTTTGAGCACTTGTTAACATTTCAAACCCGTTCATTTTCTGTATGTGCTTGACCCAAATCGGGAACCACTAATTTGCTGCTGTTAATCATATTTGTTTTTCATCGAAAATTTTTACACAAAAGTACGAGGGTTGGGATGCCCTTTTCCGTCAGGCGTCAAACGGTCATTTTCTGAAATGATTCATGACAAATAATACGATTGAAAGCAACGAATTACTGGTTCCGTACTCGATGGTCGTAAAGGGGGTACCTTCATGCGGAATAACGGTAAAAAGCTGGACTATTTATTTGTTAAATCCCGGTTTTGATCACTTAAAACTTTGAAACGTAAGGCAATAAAGGTAATCATTGGGGACATTCCGACAATGACTGACATGAAAACTACGTACTTTCGATATGAATTCCGTCAACTGACATTAGTTCGTACATTGATATATCTGTCAACTGACGGTGCATCGTTTGAAGTGTAAAGCACCAGCAGATTTACGTGTGCGCTTGACTCTTTATTATCGCAATAACATACTGAAATATTGTAACTTTCGTTTTAAAAAACGCATGTTTTCTAAAACCGGAATATGACTTGATTGCGTTAAAGATCTGAACACAGACGGAACAAATAAATCCGTGTATTTTTTCAAGCATTATTGAGTTGAAGTCGTACTCTCCGCGTAAATACTTGAAATTTGTATGAATTAATGAAATTCAGTTTATCATTATTTTGAAACTTTCGGATGCACAATTAAACTTCCCATTTGTGCACATGCGCAGATACGTAACCAACGTGATTAACCCGAATAATCCAGTTGTTTTATTCCGATTACTCCAACGAGAAACGGCAGTGGATGGAGGGCGCTGAATCATGCGAGTTAGTTTCGGATTTTATTTATTTTTAAATTAACGCATGCGTACTACCAAATCTATTTTTAAAAAATCCGGTTACAAGTAAATAAATAACGTACATGTAAGATGAGATGAAATCTAATAATTAACATAAATAAAAAGATAGATAATTAAAATATTAAAACATGAGAAATTATAACACTAACGATAGTGATTGTTTTTTCAAGCCTAGCTGTACATTTGTTTTATAAAATGATGCAGATGCTATTTCAAACTTGAAACCGATCATGTGTAAACATCGCACGGAAGTTATGAAATTGTAAAGCACAGAAAGGGATACGGCAACACTCCTGGTGACGGTTCAATGATTTTACAGCCGGCAGTATAGGATTACAGAAGACTTCAAAGTCTTCTTCCACCAAAAAAAATAAGTATAAAGCGCACGATAACTTGTATTCAATCTCTAGCGCAAAAAGATAAGAAGAAGTTTAAAAATTCATGACTAAAAAACAACAAACGTAATATTGGCTCAATTGAGTTGGATAGATATATCCAAAATGTGATGCCTCCAGTTGGGAGAGTGCCATGCTCTCTGCACGTTGTAGAACCCTTTCTGGGATTTTCAACCTCGTATAATTAATTTTCTGCATAAATATATACTTGTAATATAAAAATAAGGAGATGTGGTATGATTGCCAATAACACAACTATCCACCAACATTCCAATGAAGTGGGTGTAAGTAATTATAGGCAACCGTACGGCCTTCAACAATGAGAAAACCCAATACGGTTACCGTATAGTCGGCTATAAAAAGCCCAGACATGAAAAAATGTGAAATAAGTCAATTGAGAAAACTAACGGCCTAATTTATTACAAAACAAGTTCATTTTTTACCTTACTTATCAAGAATTTTAAATTTAAAGGTGTCTCTAAACAATTGGTTTTTAATTTTCATTTAAAAGTATTTGCAATGATGTATAAAAGGTAAAATAAGTCTCGTTTACACCTTTTAAAGTAATAGACGTGTTAGGAAAGTCAATACGATTTTGACGCTGATGTTAAATACCAATACCACTACAGGCTATAGTGGGGACCATCTCAAAAAGCACAGATAATCATTCATTATACTGGGTTTGTTTGATAATTCTGAGATGATTTTTAAACAATAAAATGGTAACAATTTTTTTCGCAATACACGGACGAGGATCCAGCAAAACAACACGAACATTATTCTTGCATTGTGTCATAGTAGGGATCGATTAAGTTTAAGATCGTTGTTCCCCCATTTCTTACTATTTTGTTGAACGACTACAAGGAAAATCTACAAAGTGATCAAAATAAATGAACAGAAAAAAACACAGGAATCATATCACATTCGAATCCGATTTTTTACTCTTCATCAATCTTTGTTCAAAACGTTCGTTTATTTGAAATTTGCTTAAAAAATAATTGTCATGTGGGGGCCTTTCTTAGCTTTTATATGCGGGAATGGTTTTGCTCCGT